ATGCGTGAATCGCCACAGAGGCAACAACCCTAATATGTAGCGCTGTTGCGGAAACAAGCCCACCAAGCACGTCCGTCATATCCAACTAATGTGTGTGGTTCTGGCATTCAACCCCTTCTATATTCATGCGTAAATCGTCACAGAGGCAACAACCCTTATATGTTGCGCTGTTACCAAAACAAGCCAACCAAATACCGTAGCCACTCACTATGTTTGTGTGTGGTGTCGGCAATCACACGCTCAGTATTCATGCGTGAATCGCCAAAGAGGCACCATCCCTGATATGTAGCGCTGTTACGAAAACAAGCCCACCAAGCACGTCCGCCATATCAAATTATGTGTGTGTGTGGTTCTGGCATTCAACCCCTTCTATGTTCATGCGTAAATCGTCACAGAGGCAACTCCCATAATTTGTAACGATGTTGCGGAAACAAGCCCACTAAACACGTCCGCCATACAAAATTTATTGCTGTGGTTCTGGAATTCAACCCCTGCTATATTCATGCGTAAATCGTCACAGAGGCAACAACCCTTATATGTTGCGCTGTTACGAAAACAAGCCAACCAAATACGGTCGCCACTCACTATGTTTGTGTGTGGTGTCGGCAATCACACGCTCAGTATTCATGCGTGAATCGCCAAAGAGGCACCATCCCTGATATGTAGCGCTGTTGCGAAACCAAGCCCACCAAGCACGTCCGCCATATCAAACTTATGTGTGTGGTTCTGGAATTCAACCCCTGCTATATTCATGCGTAAATCGTCACAGAGGCAACAACCCTTATATGTTGCGCTGTTACGAAAACAAGCCAACCAAATACGGTCGCCACTCACTATGTTTGTGTGTGGTGTCGGCAATCACACGCTCAGTATTCATGCGTGAATCGCCAAAGAGGCACCATCCCTGATATGTAGCGCTGTTGCGAAACCAAGCCCACCAAGCACGTCCGCCATATCAAACTTATGTGTGTGGTTCTGGAATTCAACCCCTGCTATATTCATGCGTAAATCGTCACAGAGGCAACAACCCTTATATGTTGCGCTGTTACGAAAACAAGCCAACCAAATACGGTCGCCACTCACTATGTTTGTGTGTGGTGTCGGCAATCACACGCTCAGTATTCATGCGTGAATCGCCAAAGAGGCACCATCCCTGATATGTAGCGCTGTTGCGAAACCAAGCCCACCAAGCACGTCCGCCATATCAAATTAATGTGTGTGGTTCCGGCATTTAAAATATTCTGTATTACTGCGTGAATCGCCCCTCAGGCAACATTCCTGGCAAGTAGCGCTGTTGCGAAAACAAGCACACCAACCACGGCTGGCACACACGATGTATTCGTCGTGTGGTTCCGGCATTGTTAGTTTCTGTATCCAATGAATAGGCGTGAATCGCCACACAGGCAACAAGCCTGGTAAGTAGCGCTGTTGCAAAAACAAGCCCACCACCACGGCCGCTACACACGACTAATGCGTCTGGTTCCAGCATTCATAATATTCTGTATTCATGCATGAATCGCCATACAGCCAACAAGCCTGTTGACAAAACAAGCCCACCACCACGGCCGCCACACACGATTGATGTTTGTGGTTCCGGCATTCAATTTTTTTGTTATACTGCGTGAATCGCCACACAGGCAACATTCCTGGCAAGTAGCGCTGTTGCGAAAACAAGCGCACCAACCACGGCTGGCACACACGATGTATTCGTGTGGTTGCGGCAATTTTAGTTTCTCTATTCAATGAATATGCGTGAATCGCCACACAGGCAACAAGCCTGGTAAGTAGCGCTGTTGCAAAAACAAGCCCACCACCACGGCCGCTACACACGACTAATGCGTCTGGTTCCAGCATTCATAATATTCTGTATTCATGCATGAATCGCCACACAGGCAACAATCCTGGTAACTAGCGCTGTTGCGAAAACAAGCCCACCACCACGGCCGCTACACACAATATACACGTGCGTGTGGTTCCGGCATTCACATCATTCTGTTATCATGTATGATTCGCCACACGGGCGACATTCCTGGTAGTACGTAGAGCTGTTGCGAAAAGAAGCGCACCAACCACGGCTGGCACACACGATTTATTCGTGTGGTTCCGGCATTCATAATATTCTGTATTCATGCGTGAATCGTCACACAGGCAACAACCCTGGTAAGTAGCGCTGTTTGTTGCGAAAACTAGCCCACCACCACGGCCGCTAAACAAATTTCAAGTGTATGGTTCCGGCATTTTCAATTTCTGTATTCATGTGTGAATCGCCGCACAGGCAACAACCCTGGTAAGTAGCGCTGTTGCGAAAACAAGCCCACCACCACGGCCGCTACACACCATTTACACGTACGTGCGTGTGGTTCCGGCATTCATAATATTCTGTGTTTATGCGTGAATCGCCACACAGGCAACAATCCTGGCAAGTACCGCTGTTGCGAAAACAAGGCTACCACCACGGCGACCAAAACCTGTTTGTGTCTGTGATTCAAGCATTTACACTCTTCGGAATTGAATCGTGAATCGCCACACAGGAAACAACCCTAGATAGCGCTGTTGCGGAAACAAGCCCAACAACCACGGCCGCCACACACTGTTCATATGTATGGTGCCGGCATTTTAAGTTCCTGTATTCATGCGTTAATCGCCACACAGGCAACAACCCTGGTGAGTAGCGCTGTTGCGAAAACTAGCCCACCAACCACGGCCGCTACACACAACTTACACGTGTGGTTCCAGCATTCATATTATTCTTTATTTGATGCGTGAATCGCCACACAGACTCAGTCAATGTCGAGGGTTGAGCGATGCAGGCCAGGCGAGTATGGTGGACGTCACTAAGATGCTTTCCAACAAGTGAGGAAGCTTCTCGAACCAGACTGTTGTCCGGTGCTGGCTCAAGGCCACCATCCTTCCAGAGAAGAACGAGAACGCCCTCCAGAGGATGGACACGCGACTTGTTGGGAAGGACAACGGAGGGGTGGACAAGGAAGAGCACGACGAGCGGGGCACGTAAGAAGCGGCAGCCATCGACAACCTTTGCGAGTTGGTCGCGAAGATATCGATGCCTGCTAGCGTCACCGAGACCAACGACGCCAGATCCATGCCATTGGTGTTAGAGGACAACTTGCTTGTGGAGAGCCCAGACCTCACTGGTATCGTAATGCAGCCATTAAGACGTCGTTCTCCGTAGAGAAACACCCTGGCGTGTGGGACTAGGAGGTAAATAAGGAACTGGAGATTGTGGAGAACTATCTGGCAAAGAGGTTGATGATGGCGCGCCTGACGATGAAGATGGTGAGGGCAGCCCGGAGTCAAGCATCACATCTTCGATGACAAAGGCTGAAGTTCGCAGTTCCCTAGAGATGGTTCGCTCCTACCTGTAATCGAATGGAAAGGGTGGGGAGTACCGCCAAACCCAGTTCCTACTCAGGTCAAGCGGCGAGATACGGATGGGGGGGAGCTGCTGGCAAATCTGCGCGACTTGTGGAGGAAGTAGCGTGTGCGGTTTCCTACAATACGCATGTCTGGAATGCGTCGCAACACATGAGTTTAAGTGTTCCAACTTTAGCATCTTGGGTACTACGTTTTTCATAATTGGGTATTAAAATACAATGGCTATCTGCTCTTTCGTGAGCGCCTATTTACTGACGTATAAACCACCTCTATTAGCCCCGGGGGTGGTGAGTTGTGCTCCCCTGAATCCTAACTTAGCTTCCGCGCTTTGAGCTAACTCTTTTAGGGAAACACCACGTGTAATCTTAAGCGACGTTCGACCGTGGTGCTTTTGTGCACGCTCCTTATGGGACAAAACAATGTTTTGTGCATGGGACTACAGGAATGCGGAGGCGTGAACTTTTCAAAATTATTTTGCAACGGCGAGAAGAGGGCACGTGCCTTTCATATTGCACGGCAGGAACACCGGTCAGAGCGTGCGGGAGACGGTAGTTGCAATGTTTTTTCTCTTCACTCTTGATACCTCGTTCCAGATACGGTTCATCATGAGGCAATTCGTTAAGTATTCGTCGAGATGTTGGTGATCACAGCCTTCGCACAATCGATGCTGGAGAGGGTCTACGTGCGCGGTAGGGGCAGTAGCTTGACGTGAACCGGAATAGTTTCCGCCGTGCAGCATATCTCGCCCCTTCCCGACTCTAGGGAAGTTTCACAACGTTTCGGCCATATTGCACCTTTTCGCTCAAAAAAAGCTCGAAAACGTTTTGTGTAACTTTTTGAAAAGCAAGATAAGATGCAGAAAATGCAGCATGTTTGCAACATTTTGGAGCCTTAAAAAGCGGTAGTAGACTTGTGTGTTGTCCTCGTCTCATTCCTCATGTAACAGCCCCAGTTGCCCTACCCAACGCCCCAACTAATGTTTCAGCAACCTCTTGCACACATGTACCATTGGAGACACTCAACCACACATGAGCTTGCAACGGGTTCAATAGGCTCAATGCGTATTTGCAGCAGTGGGTCCATTGGCAAGGAGGGTGCGATGCCGGCATTATCAGCGACGCTTCTACTATTCTTTAACGCGCCCAAGCACTTCTTTCTGCGAAGGTACGACAGTTTCGTTCAGCGCGCGGCGACAAAAAAATTTGCACCTGGGCTGGAGATTGCGGTTTCGGTTAAGATCATCCCGAACAAGTTGGAAATGTCGTTGACACATATCCCCGCTCTCGTCGACCACCTCCCCACGACGTTAATGACCCAAACAATCAATTAATTTTTCCTTCCACACGTCGAGCCGGTACCAACGGTAATGAGTATAGTCCATTTCGTATACCACGCCAACTGCGTCGAGGATTTCCAGGTCGGAATAGTATTCCGTCCACGCGCACGGGTTCTCCCCCTCGAACAGGTCGCGCGCGTGTCGCGGCAAGGAGTCCCCCATGTCATTCCCTGGACGACAACAGGAAACGGAGGTGAGTGACAACGAGTAGGGGAAGATAGAGAAGCAGGCTACGATCAATTTACCAGATACAAGCTGTACATTGCCTTCAATTTTCTTCCGTTGGTGTACGGCGGCAGGGCTAGGGCTTGGTTCTCTCTGTGGGAATATCAACAGATTCAGTACAGAGTTTTAGTATGAGATCCGTTCGGGTTCTAATGTATCGACAAATCCGAAATACTGACGATTATAATCCACCAATCAATGCCTTAGGGGTGGCGCGTCCTGCGTGTGTCCCTACTGGCTTACTACTCTTTCGTGCTACAAAAGTCACACACACACGCAACAGTAATCGAACGCGCACACGGAAAAAGCGTCCTCGCCAGTGACTCCACCACATCAGGGTGCGCACCGCGCCATCCATAACAAACACGTCGCAGTCATGCGGAGCGATCGACGCATGTGCCTACCCTCGCCCCCGCCTCCACACAGATGATGCCCCTTCGTAGCTGCACCTTCCGCTGTTTGTGTTCCGCCACCGACTGCTTCGCCTCCACCTCCGTTGGGTAATTCTCCCCTCCATGCGCCCCGGCCATAGTCGAAGTCCATGAAGGCATGTTTCTCGTCGGGTCCCCACCCCGACTTCCCGAACGCCTCCCAGATGTCTCCTGGGAGAGACTTGACTACCTCGGTGGAGGTTTTCTGCGTCATCATCACGGCATAGGCGTAGGAGGTCTGTTTCACACTTGTGAAGTTGGCTAGGAAGGGGACAGCAGGTATATTTGTGTCGTTGGGGTAGGGTAGGGGTGATATGTGCGTACGCACGCGACTTGGTATTGTGTTGGGAAAGAAAACACATACTGACATGTCAAGGCAGCCTGTTCCGTACATGGGATACGGTGCTTTGTACGACGGCAAAAAGCGCGAAACAAGCCGATCAATACTAGCATACCCTGTTTCCTGTCAGTCAATCGAGGAGTGTTTCCAACGATAGTTTTGGGTCATGGCCAAAAATGGCAGCTTGAAGCATTTCATCGCCTGGTATTCGTTTACTAACCTAACCATTGGCACGGTCGGAGACGGACTGGGCGACGCGTGCGGTTGGAGGTTGAAGGAACACCATGTTGTAGTCGCTCTCTACTTGCTTGACGGCAAAAGCTTTCGGGAAACAAATTTAATTTAAAAAGCCGGGTTCGTGCGAACAAAGCTCCTCCGAGTAGGTTTAGTGGACGCACTCGAGGGTGTCAGTGGACCTTAATCTCTATGGCGGTTGCCCTCGTTTCTTCTACACATGCTGCCATCGGGTTCCCGTGTTTATGGGAAACCGTGAGGGCGTACGCATCTCAATATTGAGTGTGGAGAGAGATTTAAAGACCGTCATGGGCATAAACACACCTGCAGCCTCTCGAACGGAATAACGCTGTCGAAAGGGGAGCTGCGCTGGCCACACAGGCTGGACACCGGCCGGAACGCCACGGGAGCGCTCCAAACGTCGGTCCTAAGGGCTTCCAACACCTCCACCAAAGTCGGAACGCGAACCGCATCGCCGCCATCACGGTTTCCGTTTTGTCCACTATTGTGGAAAACCTCGTAGGCTTTGCCCTCTCTTCCGTCGCTTTGCTCTAGGAAAAGCCCTAGCTGCCGTTGCCGCCGCACCTGCCGCCTGTCCACGATGTCGTCGAAAAATTGCCACTCACTCCTTGTACCAGCGAACGGCGCTTGGCTCCCCACGCCTCGCTCGCGTTGTAGGTCGTCACCCGTAGGCTCTGGCTCGGGCCACCGTTGCCATAACCGTCGTCGGTTGTGATCGGAACTCTGCTTAGTGGTCCGGCGGCAATTGGTCAGAATCAGACTCGCCGTGGCAATTGATGCACTGGAAACATTGTTGCGAAGCAGCATGCAGCCAAAATCAGCAACGACGAACCGACCGCACCAAACCGATGCAAACTTTGAAGCATGTTCGGTTATCCGTGGTGCGTGTGTGTAAGAGAGAGAGAGGGAGGAAGAGCGGAACATTCGATGTTGGTATTTATGAGGGGGGGTTAGGGTGAACAAGAAGGGGGGGTTCTAAAGATGAATGCGTCCCCCTTAAAATGACGTATTTCTTACGTGTAGCTGGACAGTGAAATTTCTGGAGGCCAGAAGCCACACACGCGGTCCCAGGGAGGGCCAGATCATGCTGTTTTTAGTGACGCTAAGACTCAGGTACTTTCGTTGGTCAGCTGATTGGCGCGGTCGATGTTGAAAATAATAACACACACATGTCTGGAAATGAACGTAGCAGGCATGCTTGATGACAATCCCATGCAAAAAGTGAGAAGGTAGGAACGGAGTTAGCGAGAACCGAGTCCAAGAACACAAGGGCTTCGACGTTTCAGATGTTCAGAGAACGTCTGGGATCTGTAAATTTGTCAGTGGTTATGTAGACAGTAGGCAAACTCCATCCTTTCCGTGTTGTAGGCCTTGACTGTTGGGTCTCCACAACAGTAGATGCCATTATGTACTATTTCGAGTGATAAAAAGTTCTCAGCAGTTTCCCTCCTCTCCATAGGGACACCACTAAATAAAGTGAAGATAAAAGTTGAAGCAACGCAAGAACTACTTGCAGGGGTGATCGTGACGAACTGACGGTATTTTTACATACAGAAAGCCATATCCATATTCATGTATAGATGATACTTCCATAGTAACATATAGGCAACTCACCTGCGGGTCATTTATTGACGATTGTTGGTGTAATATCAGGCCTGCTCGCCAAGTGTCAACAAGATCGAGGTAGGATGACAGCAGTCGGGTCACCGGGTCACGCACGACCGCGATCTTGATCCAGCCGGACCCGTTGTCGGAGAAAATCTCCTTCATCGACTGCCCGTCAGTCGTGTCGAGAAGTGTCATTTCCGAGGCCTCTCGATCGAACAACAGCGACCGGTTGTTGGACACCCACCAGTGCGGGATACCCTTCGATGCGGTTACGGTCGAACATGGGAAGTGCTTGTGAGAATCATTGCTCCGTACGAGATGCGCCAGGCTATGCCATATTTTTGTGTTCTGCGCTCCAGAGAAATATGGGGGGTAACGGGGGGGTGAGTACCTTTCGGCTCCAAAGTTCCCGTTGAGCGGTTAAGACTCGGTCGACGGATGGATGCAACAAAGACCACTGAAAACAACGGACATGTGGCACATACCACAAAAGCGGGGCAAACGTTTCTTGACAATCTCAACAACAATCGGATGGCACCTGCTTTCTTCGAATTTATGCGAGTCGTCGATCGAGAAATCGGTCCTTGAGTGCCATAGGTGCCGTTGTCCTGAGCAACAGGCTATCGTTTGGGCGGTGACGATGTTGAGGAATAGGGTGGAGGGCAGAAAATGTGCAATTCGCACATGCATACCAAGGGCATGAATCCGGGAGGACCGATGAGGAAAAGTGTTCCAGTTTCTGTCGATAAGCAGGTGACCTTACGGCAATAACTTGGTGTGACAACTGGGAGCAGTTCGGCTGCAGACTGCGTAAATTCGAAAAAACCCAAACTGCGTGTGAAGTTCCCATCTGGGAATCGCAGGTACTTGTTTCGTTGGGTTCTTCTTCGCGGTAGTCACCGAGGCATCTCCACTTTTGTACGTATTGGTCGGATGTTTCATGGAAGTCCATGAAAGGTCCACGGACGACGATGGAAGCCATGAAGCATTCCATGGAAATCCATGAAACATTTCAAGGGTGCCTTTGGTAAGATACCACCAAGGCATACAGACGATACATGCCGGCCCTATGTACGCTACCGAGCGTCTCGGCATGCTCTGGTAATACTTCAGTACCATACCAAGAATTCCGGTACACTATTGACAAAAACCAGTTCCCAGGTACCGAGAATACCGATACAGAGCTTCATACCGCTTCCGCAAGAAATGCCGGTACCGCCACATTCTGAGTTGCAAACTGTTGTGCACCTGCCTAGTTCCGAACACACAACTGCTGCACCCTACCGAACATCACAAAACCCTGTCTGTCTGGGTAGACTATACACGATAGATATGCGGGTTCCAGTCGTGCCGACCCCGGTTCTGGCGGCACTTCCTCTTCGCAAGCCCCGTCGCCAGTTGTTGTCGACGTCCAGAAGCGTGCCTTCGAATACAGCAGCAAAGGTCTACAACACGTTCGGGCAGGTGTGCGACGTGTCTCTCGACAACACCACAGCCATCGATGGTTTCACTGTGCCGACCGGTTATCAGACAAAAGGAAAACACGTGAAGTGTCTTTGATGTATTCGGTTCGAGTATACGTCGAACCGATCGACAGGCAGAACAAGGCCAATCACCCCTAGTACTTCAGCGTACGTGACGCTAGCTGCCGGTCGAACAAGTGTATCATTCCCTGCAAGAAGGGCGGTGACCGAGCTAACGTCAACAAGCACCCCAAGAAGCGCAACCACACGTTCGGTCGTGGAAGGGTTTCGGCAACGTGTTTTTGTGTGGTTTTGACACTAGGGGTAAGGATTAGCCCCCCGCCTCCGAATGGGGCGGGCGGGCGTAACGAGACGGATGTCGGTGAGGGTTTGGTAGGAAGTGAAGTAGAAGAAGAAGGAAGACGACCGCACTCTATTACAGTTGGCGCCCGTGCATAACAAACGCCAAATTCTTGTTGTGGGCTGAAAACCGAGCGCAGCGTATGGAGATGTTGAGTTCCTACGCCAAGTTTCATATATTTTTGTTCCGCTGAATCCTGCAGAATCTCGGCTTGCCCAAGGTTGTGGTGCCGAAGAGACGATGCTTGCGACTTACACAGATTCAACGAATTCATGAGTGAAGATTGAAACACGCGGGGTATGACTGAAAAAGGTGCGGTAACGTTTGAACGTTTACCGTGCTAAACATGAACGGTGCAGGCTACAGTTGTTGTCTAGTGGGTGCGTTCACCACGGCAGCCGCGTGTACCTGACGGGAAGAGAAGGGGGATGTAGTCTAAACAGGGGCATTGTGTCGTACAGCCGGCCGTATTGTTGTATGGTTGGGTGCGGAGTTTGTGAACATTGTGATTCCATTTGATCTCGGTCGTTTTTGTTACCCCGGGCGCCTACAACCGATAGATGTTTGAGAATTCGATTTTTTGCTTGCCCCCGAAATCCCCGTGGCCTTCATGAGGACGCTGCGAACGAAACAAAAAACCTTGTGTGTGCGCCAGAGGGAGCACGAACACCTGACAGAACCACGAGAGTGGCAGGAGAAGGGTCATCGGAGGTTTGCTTTAATACAATATGTTGCTCGTTGGACACCACCTCACGACACACGCTCTGGGGTGATCGCGGTTAAGTTTTCTCAAACACGACCGACGACAGGCAACACCTATCGCCGCTAATGAATGACGTTTGTTGAAGTTCTTGAAAAATCCTTGACCAACCAGCTGCGCGATTCTTTGAGATAACAGTTCCTCCGTGCGTAGGCTCGCCCGGGTGCACGAAATTCTCACGGTGCTGTAATTCGCCTCGCCCTTGGTGTCTCGAGCTCACGACAGGGGCGTTGTGATCGCACGGTGAGAACGCTCAGGTTGGCTCGAGCCGATAAAAAAAATTTCAAAACTTTTTAAAGCGGAACAAAACCGTTTACCCACACCACAACAATGATGGTTGCGTGCGTTCACAGCGTTGTAACTCTACCCGCCGCCTGAAGGCGAGGAGAGTATAGCTCCTGTTGGGGCAGACACCCCGTTCGACCGTGAAAATACATCGGCGGGGGTGATGGCCGGGGTGCGGCCGGCGCAGCGGTGAGAGGGTCATAACGCGGAGAAGGTACTTTGGAGGATTCGATGGGCCCAAACACGAGTTGGGTGTGATACCATGCTGACATCGGGTTTGGTCGTTAATGTTTGGATTTGCCGGGTTGTCCCTGCGGAGTTAATGTGGGGGGATTTGAATTTGTGTTTGTGGATCATTTTCGGTCTTTTACTTGTAGAATTGATATGGAATTGCCTATTGAACGGGAAGCATTTGTGCTTCCGAAGGATATTGGAACTGGTCATTTTATTAAACATGATTTGTTCTGATTCGTTGCAGCAAGGTTTCCCGGAGGTACCCGTCCCCGTTCCGACGCAACTACGATGTAATGTTGATCTTGTCTTGATATTTTTCCAAGGGTAATGGTTTACGTTTGACTGTTTGACAACTTGACAGAGCATTTTCTCGAGGGGGTGGTTTGTGAATTGATCAGAAGGCTTGAAAGATTTCGTAGAACATGTTTTATTCGGAAATCATCATATTTCGTAGAACGTTGTTTTATTGGGAATACTTCGTAGTTTGGATTGGAATAGTGGATGAATTCCGTTTGGATGGGTAGTTTGAGGTATTGCCAGTTTACCTGTCAATGATCATCGTGACGGGGATTTCGTAGATAATATGTCACACCGAGCAGCGGGGTTACTTGGCGTGCTCAGCAGAGTATTCTGTCTACGAGTCCGCCGGGGGATACGCGGATGACATGTGTTGATGGACACGCATGCAAAAATGACATAGATGTTGCTTGCAGCACGACTCTCATTCTTTTACCAACAAGGTCTAGAGTCAACCTTCTTTTGGCCTCTGGCGAAGCCGCCGCACCCAAACGTCCATGAAAAGTGTCGTGGGTTCCCTATGCGCGAGATAGAACCAACTTCTTGCAACCTCCCATTTCATGATCACACAGGTAGGTCGTGAAAGGAGATCGGAAGGAGAGCACGTGACCCGCTCAAAGTCAGCGTGAAACATACGATGTGTTTCCCATACGCGGCTTCCGTCAGGTGCCCTCTACTCTAAGCCCTAGAGAAGCGTTTTGTGAGGAGAAAAGTGCACGGAAAGCAGAAGATTGAATAAGCAACATAACTCAAAGGGGCCAGACACGAACAAGAGTAAGCAGCAGCCTTGTAGACAGGTACAGCGAAAAATGTTAACCAACTTGCATCCGCAGAGTAGGTTAGTCCCACCTAATGCCGCACCCCCGCAGAGTGTCTCATATCACGTCTTGCGCGACCATTGTCAGTTTAAGGTCGCCCAATTACCTTTCCACTACACACGTATCCACGTAACCCCCAAACCCCGAAAGATCAGGAATCAGTGCCGAGTACCACAACACACATTTCGCAGCCTGAAGATAGAGAAAAATTAACTACGATATCCACGACGTTGTTGACCCCTCTCGCAGGGACGCTGCGCCAATGCCGCTTACCGTCGTAACCTCACATGAAATCCGCTGTGGCAGCTGTTTTTCGTAAGAGCTACCGCACGCAGTGTATTCTATCAACACCGTAGAACGACCCGCAGGCCGGGAGTTGTTTCCCTCCGGTAAAAGGGTTTATCACCCAAACCCAAAGAGTTTGCAGCGGCATGGACACGTTCATCCATGTTCAAGCGGTTCTCTACTGGACAGCACCGACAAACACATACATCGCAGCTCCACACGCCATCACCCCGGACGCAAGTACGCCGCATTGTCGAGGCGGGCATCTTCAAGCGAGCGCTGGGGGGTGGCCGAAAGATGTTGCTGTACTTGCACCCACACTTAGAGGACACACAACGAATCACGACACAACGACGATTTCCAACTTCATGATCAAAGTTACATGATACCTGCATGCGTTTTGCGAGCATCCTGAACTGCAACGAGCCGGTGTTTGGGGCAGCGCAGAATAGAAGGGATCGCTCCATGACGACGATCGTCTCGGACTCAGCCAGCCACTCCCGGCTGCAAGTCGAGGTTGGCCGAATTGCAAGGAACCCGACGAGCGGAGGGAGAAGGGAGGGAAGAGGAAAGAAGTGAGCAGGGAGGGAGAAAGTAGGCGGGAGGGAGGCTGTTCACAATTCACCCTTAATAAGGTAAAATGAGGTGTCTCTGGCTGCGTAGTCCCACATACCCGATTAGGATGCCGGTCCGCGCTGCAATTATTGGGTCCCGTTTGGGCCCGGCCCAACCCTGGCGGAAACCTCTGATGTAACGCGTGGTAGTGTTTCTGCCGCGGGGTCTTGTCATGAACATATATTCGTACTTTGAAGTATACCACCTACGTGAGTACCCTTACCATGGTGGTTCCCATCGAGAAACCGGGTGAAGCCGCCCCCCCGCTCTGCCGCCAACATTCAACCCCCATTACCAGAGGCGTCCCTCCACTCTCATTCTCTCACATTTCGTTGGTCGGGGGCGGTAGCTGCGCAGACGTCCTC